TGAAGTCCCTTCCTGTCTCAATACTCAGGCTTTCTGGGAAGAAATGGTCTAAGATGATAGATACATTCTCTCTTCTTGGTTCCTTAGATGACTTCTGGTTTGTATTCACTATGAAAAAACTTACTGGGCTAGAGAAACAGGTCCACATCATGCCTGCCCATTGCACAGATATATGAACAAGGTGGGGAAGGATGCTCCAAAATACCGGACAGGTTTCATTAGCCGTCAGTGTTTTGAAAGTGGGTGGAATGTGGTCGAAGGCAGCTTCAAGGAAACCTTTATCAGAAACCAGATGTCTTTGTCCTCTCCCACTGTCTTAACCCAGGAGAAGAATGACGACAAGTCTCAGAGGGACAAGGGAGAGAAGGCAGGCAGCTAACACTTTTTTTTAACCCCCTACCAATTCCTGAGACAGCCTCTGATTTATATCATCTCATGGCGACCTTGCTGGGCGGGAAATACTGTCCCCGTTTTACAGATACCAATCTGAGGGTCAGGGAGACGAGGGAACTTGCTCCTTGTCTCACAGCTCCTGAGCAAGAAGCGGAGTTCAAAGCCAAACCCAGACCTTTCCACTGCATCACCTTCCTGAAACGGCCTGTGTTGAAATAATCAGTTTCAGAAATTGAAACAGAGTCTGGAATTGAGCTGGGCACTTTGAATGTGTCCTGAAGCCATTGGTTTAGTTTATAAAATACAGTGGTATTTGTTCCCTGTTTACCAATACTCAGAACAAGTCAGGAAATGTAAGGTGAATAATGCCCCCTTAAGAGGGGTTTATAATGGCTATGATCCCAGTTTCCTTCATTGCCCAGGCCCTGTGGCTTTTCAAAGATTCTCACGGCTGCACAGGGAACTTCCTGTCCTCCCACATCTGGGCCAGTCCACCTTCTAAGGAGCCCTAACGAGCATCAACATCTTTGTTGAAATCTCCAGCACAGAAAACTCGACCTACAGCAATACTATGATCCAGAGGTCCACCAACCTAATGATCGACAAACTATAGTATACTTCCATCCGTCCTGCTATGATTTCAGGCTCTAATCCCCAGGGTCCTGGTCGGCTCGAACATCTGACCCTGGAATTGTGGACATGCTGCACGACGCCCAGCCTGTCAGGCAAGAGGAGCGACTGAGATTCTCTTCTCTGCTATCACACGTCCCACATTTCCCACACAGCCTCACCTACGCCCAAAAGCTCTGTGTCCTTCCAGCCCCTTTAACTTTCTCATTTGCTTCCCTATGTTTAGTCTGGTGGTAATTATTTAGACCTATGGTTTTAAAACCGGGGGCACTCTTACCCCCAGGGGACATTTGGCAATATCCAGAGATAGCTTTAGTCGTTACAACCGTGGGGGTGCCCCCGGTATCTAGTGAACAGAAGCCTAAACATCTTGCTAAAGATCCTGCAGCGTGCAGGACAGCCCCAACCACAAGGAATTGTCTAGTCCAAATGTCAATGGTGCCACGGTTGATAAACCCTGATTTAGACCCGGGATGGCAAGTTTCTGCCATGAGTGCTCCGCCTCTCCACTCCCCTTGTGTCCTTTGCTGTCACATCTAGTTGATCAGGACAGTCATGCCCTCTGAGCCCAGTTCTGAACTCCGAATCCTCTCGACACAGGGCTCCAGGCAGCTGCTACTAAGTGATAGGTGCTGAAATGCAAAATGAACTCAACTGGCCATCCTCACGTCAGATGCTCTTTGTGCTGGCCAAATTTACTGATTTTAATTGTTACCCTTTCAGAGCAAGGGTAAACTCTTATTGTCCCCAGTAGCTCTGAGAAAGGAAAAGGTGGGCAGAGGAAGAGAAAGAAAGAGAAGGAGGAAAGGAACAGGGGAAGTAAAGAAAATGAAAGAGAAAAAAAGGGAAGAAAAGAACCGTGTAAAAAAAACAAAAACAGGAATAGAAAATAGAAGAAATGAAGTTCCAAACTAGGCTCCACTGAGGTCAACACTGTGAATAACCGATGGAACCCCTCTACGTGAGGAGCTCATTTTGTGTATCGTTAAGGTGGCTCTTCAAAGCCAAAGGAGCCAACACCGAGAACTTCCTACCGTCAAGAGGGTGGCTCTCTGTCAGGAGAACCTCATGGCTGCGCTCTTCCGGCCATCGCAATTGGCCATTTCCCCAGTCCCTCCACCCCCCCACCCGCCGCCCAGTACAGGGCCTTCTTTGCCACATGGTGAGACAGAACTGTCGTTCGGTGTCACTTTTCCTGAAGGCCACACAGAGTGCCCCCAAAGAACTGGATTCGAGTTTTTCCCAAATGTCGGTCAGCCCCTCCTCTTGGGGCGGACCACAGATTCAGGCAAGGGCACCCATCCTCGTTAATGCCTTCATCAGCGGTCAACAATGGTGGCCGTGAGCTGAAACGAAATCTTCAACAGCGCCTGACTGCTGACAGAGTCTTGACGGATACACTTGGAGCGTTTTTAATAGCTTAGGTCTTCAGAAGAGATTTGGCAGGCCCCGAGCATTTAAGGACGTATGCCATGTGAATGGCACAACCACGTGTCCGTTTTGAACTTTTCCCCAGTAAACGTGGAATGGAGGCAAAATTCTCATGTATACAAAGGGCGCTCCTTAGAAAATCACAAACCTTCCTATTGAGTAAACAAGTGATCAATTTGTTGGAAACAATTACTCTTTGAAGGCACGTATAATTTTTGGCACTGTGCATCTTGGGGTTTTTTTTTTCCCCCGCAGCATTGCCAACTAGAAGCCCAAGCACAGGCTGTGCCTCAGATGCTTCCGTGCATCGCCACCAGCAGCACTTGCCCTGTCTAAGGTACAAAACATTTGCTCAGTGCGGCTTCCCGTGCACAGCTCCCACAGTGGCCAGACTCGCAACCCCCCTCCACTGATTTTTAAAACCTTTTTTTTTTTTTTCTTGAACGTATTCCTATTCTCAGAGTCCATCTGTTAAGTCTTTTTATCGGTGGCATATTTGGGACCCCATGCCATGCAAAATTCCACAAAGGAAACTTCTTTGTCCATTGTAAAATGAAGTGATCTCTCCCTCGTCTCTGCAAGAGAGAGCCGTTTGGATGAGATCCCAAAATCCCTGGAGAGAAAAGATGGAGGAGGCAGGAGAGACCGTCGGCCACCTCGGATCCTAGCTTCGCGCCTCCTGCCCTTTCTGCGGGGCTGACCCGGATAACACAGATCATTTAGCCTCCACGAGCAGCTGAGCAACAGCACGCCCATACCTCATGCAAGTTGAAAAGAGCTTAGCCGAAGTGGGGACCACGTGCAAATTCAGCGTTGGGAGAGCCATGGGATTTTCTGGGAAAATTCTAGGAAAGAAGTCAGAGGACCGCCGCGCTTGTTATCCCTTTCCGAGTGACTTCTGAGCTGCTTGCTTTGTGCTCCAATTTCCAGGCAACCAGGCCTATCGGGGCCTGTGTGGGCAAATGGCTCTGCTTCTGCTGCTACCGCGAAAGGCAAAGGCATCTCTCGTCACCTTTGCCGCCTGTAGAGAAGGGACTGGTTCTCATGTTTTCCCCCAGCTCAATAGCTCAGGGCTTTGCTAATCTTGCTGAACACTTCAGTTTTTAGATGGTATATCAATGAGGCATTCAAACAGAGCAGTTTATACACAAAAATTCTGTCTGCTTTGTAAAAGATTATCCTTTTATAAACACTCTGCAGAAAACATAAAAGCAAATAGGGGACAGCACATGGAACAGGAAAGATGTTAGCGGGGAGATTAATACTGAATGGGTCGAAATGAATGGCGCTTACTAAAACGCGGTCCAGATACTTTGGCTGCAGTGAGACATAAGTAATGGGAATGACACATCGTTTATTCGGGATAATGAGCTGATCCAAAGTAGAGGCCTAGGACAAGAGATTAAAGATTAAATATCCATCTCCTGATGAATATCAGTAGCCAACTTTAACCTTTTCCTCCCAAAAGTACAATGTTACTTGAACAATTATATGTGTTTATGCTACAGTACAGAAATGGGATTCTTAAACACACACACACACACACACACACACACACACACACACAGCAAATACCACTTGAGCCATTCTCTTATCCTGGTGATAAAAAAAACAAAAACACAAACAAAAAACACGGCTTCACATTTCAAGACAGGAAGTGTCGTGAATTTTATTTCTAGCCTATGAGCCTCTGGACGCTGATGCAAAGATTTTCCCTGCGATATTCTGCGTTTGAGAAATCTAGCTTAGGGACTCTGCTCACCTCTCTTCACTCACTCATTTCACAACAAAGTTTTGCAAAAGAGAAAGTGGGACTGGCACAGCCCCATATGGATCCCACATAGACAGTGAGCTCCACAGAATGACAGACTGGGACAAGCCTCAGAAATCAGTGCATCCCGACACGGGAGAGGACGCTGAGGCCGGCGGCCGGGGTCCCACAGCTAGTTCGAAGCAGGGCTGGGGCTAGTACTGGGCCTTCTGGCTTCCAGCCCCCACTCTCTCCACTGCACCCCGCTGCCTCTTTATTCCCTCAAGTTGGAAATAATGACCAAAGCAGCCTGCTTGAAGAGCCAGCACCCCACATGCTAAATTAAAGCCCTGAATTCATGAAAAACTTAGAATATTGGAAGCTCTGAATAAATAAGGGTTGGAAACAAAACAAGGGGATGGGAAGAGTTGGAGAGAAATGGGAGAAAACGTAGAGGAGGAGGAGGGGGGAGGCAAAAGGAACAGGCAGCCATCACGGCCACCGGCGACGCCAGCCCGCAGGCCCTGCCCCCCCCCCCCCCCCCCCCCCCGGCACGATTCCGGAACAGTCCGCTAGTGGCCCTTGTCTCTCAGAAGGCGAGAAGACACCGGGCAAGAAGAAATCGTGTGGTCTGCCCATTTCTTGGAGCCAAGAAGCTGCCCACTGTTCACAAGCCAAGACCAGGAAAGTGATTGGGGGGCGAGGAGATACCAGGGGAGTAAGGAAAGCAATAGGATTCAAACGTTCCACCAAAAACAACAACCAAAAAACGAAAACAAAACCCCGGGCCTCCAACCTGGTGGGAGCCGGAGACCATCACAGGTGAATTCCACAGCCGCTCACCTACAGGGAGCAAGGTCAGGATTTGGCTGGCGTCCCACGTGGTATCAGTTTGGTAGTTCCCGTCTATGCTCCAGGGAACATTTGTCACGGTGCCAACCCAACACGCACGCGCAGTTGGCAAGCTGTCCTCGGAGGCCAGGGATGAGGAGCCGTGGAAGTGTATCCATTTTCACTTTGCAAGTATTTGCATGCCAATGCCTCGGACACTGCTGCTCTTCCGAGAAAGAGGGGAATTTATACTTGAGAGCAAGGCTGTTTGCAGACACCGCACCCCACGTGGGGGTGGGGGCGCTGGCAACTCCAATCCCTCTGTCCTCTTGGCGAGTAAGGCCAGCACCTTGTCGAAGGTGGAAATAATTGAACTACTTCCTAGACGAGAAAGGTGTTACCGGAACCACCTGCCAGATCTCAGCAGGAAAGAATTTTTTCTGCTTAACAGGAGACTCATAGGTTCCCGCGTGGATGGGATCATAAAGACTAAAGGCAAGAGATTCACAAGACACTCAACTGCCATTCTGTTTTATTCATTCATTCATTCATTCATTCATTCATTTATCTATTTATGTATTTATTATTTTTATGTATTTTTAAGTTTATCTATTTTGAGAGAGAGAGCACAAGCAGGGTAGGGGCAGCAAGAGAGGAGAGAGAGAATCTCAAGCAGACTCTGCACTTTCAGCACAGAGCCCGATGCGGGGCTCAAACTCACCAACAGTGAGATCATGACCTGAGCCAAAGGCAGACGCTTAACTGACTGAGCCACCCAGGTGCCCCCAATTTTTTTTAATGTTTATTTATTTTGAGAGAGAGACAGACAGACAGACAGACGGACAGACAGACAACGAGCTGGGGAGGGGCAGAGAGAGAGGAGAGAGAGAGAGAGAGAGAGAGAGAGAGAGAGAGAGAATCCCAAGCAGGCTCCACGCTGTCAACACAGAGCCCGACATGGGCCTTGATCTCACCAACCGTGGGAACGTGACCTAAGCCGAAATCAAGAGTCTGAGGCTTAACCCACCGAGCCACCCAGGTGCCCCTAACAAGTAGCATTTTGGAAAAGGAAGGATATGTTAAATAGAAAGTTTAGAAAAAAAAAAAAAAAAGAGTTCTGAAAAGGAGGCCATCACAAACTCAAACACCTTTTTGAGCACTGTGGAGGCTCAGCACTAAGAACCCAGGAAAAAACAGCACCGCTCGGCCTCCCTAAATTGAAAGAGCACCCACAGGGTAGCCCGCTGGTAAACAGCCACATTTTAACGTTTTTACCCAGTGTTATGAAGTCATCCAGTGCACACAGGTATGGAAACAAGGAGAGGATGGCTAGGGGGAGGGAGGTCCCAAAAGAAGTACCATGCTTCTATTGAATCTCGTCATGATGTCCAGCCCTGGTCAAGGTGACTGTCAGCAATAAGTAGTAACAAACTGAACGTGGCTCTGCGCTAGAGATGGTGTGACACAGGGTCAGGAGGATGATGCTGCCCAGACCCGGGACCCGTCCGTGAAGAATTTCCAGTCAAACATTCCCAGGGCTTAAAAATGCTACTCACGCTTTCCAGGCATGACCGCCATTCTCTTGTGAGTGAAGCCTATTAGTAGATCTGACCATGAAGAGACTACAGCCTCCAAAGTGAGATCACTGCATCTTTATCTCCCCAGAGACAATTGAGTGGCTGTGGAGGCAAAGATGGCCGCCCTCAGATTAATCCCCAAGGGCCCGGTAATGAGTGGGCTTGGGAATGTCTCTCCAACTGCCATTTGAAAATGTTGATCCACCAGCAAATAAAGAGCTTTATAGGAAGTCCCGAAATTGGCTTTTTTCCCCCAGATTATCAAATTCTCAGCAAATTACATGGTCTTTCTCATAGCTCCCAAGTGACGTGCCTATGTGGCTGTGGGACTAGGTCTGTCCTTAGGGCCAAAGCTAGTGATAACCAGGGGGATCCTCATAGGCCAAATTCTTATTTTCCCTCAAATATATTCACTGAAAAAGAGTCAAATGTTCATAGATTGAGTGGGTACAGTGAGAAAGAAAAAAAATTCTCTTTACTGGCTAAAACAAGTAGTGAGTGGGCCCAGGGTCCCAGCCTGAAATTCCCGATTCTGAGCCTGCCTCTAACTCTCGTGTGTAGTTCAGGCTGACGTCAATTGTTTTTACACATTACAAATGTATGCCAGCACCTGCCTTTCAGACTCGGACTTATAACTCCGGGGCACTGAACCCTATACTTATGGGAGCCCAGCAAAGTTAGCTCTCCTTTGCCTTGTTAGTTCCACATATCCTTCGTAATTTGGACTTGGACTCAGGTGTCACACACTCTAGAAACTTGGTGTCAGGTGGATGGAAACAAGTAGTAAGAACTGAAAGAGGCAGGACCAAGAACTGCAAGGAGGTGACCTTTCCTTTCAAAGAGGCACAGTGAGTGAGGGCTTCATTCAGATAGCACTGAGAGCTGAGGGTTAATAGGGCAGTAGAGGTCTCTAAACGGCGGTGACTTCCTGCCTGCCACTGTAAGCACTCTTCCCTCATTCTGCTCTGCCCAGGAGCTCTCAGCCCTGGCTATACACTAGAGTCACTTGGGGAACCATTAAAAAAACACCCATGCCCAGGCCTCACCCAGAGATTCTGATGTAACTGGTCTAAAGTGGAGCCCAGGCAGTGCATATTTAAAAGTTCCCCCGAGAGATTCGAATGCATTTCAGGGTAGGGGGCTGAATAGGGACTCCCAAAGATATCAGGTGCTAATCCCTGGAACCCACAGATGGTACCATATATGGCAAAAGAGGATTGTGCAGATGTGATTAAGTTAAGGATCTTGAGATGCCATATTGCTATAATAATGCTGTATTATTCAGGTGGGCTCTAAATGCGATCACAAGTGTCCTAATAAAAGAGAGGTGGAGGGAAAGTGAACACACACCTCAGAAAAGGTAATATGAAGATGGGACGGAGAGAGACTTCGAGATCCAGAGTCTTGCGCTATTGAAGACTGGGGTGATGCAGTCACGAGCCAAAGAATGCCAGCCGCCACCAGAAGCTGAAAAACGCAAGGAACGGATTCTCCCTTGGAGCCTCTAGAAGGCGCGTTGCCCTGCTGACACCTGGATTTCAGCTCAGTGATAGTGACTTTGGACTTCTGGCCTCCGGATCGCTGAGAAAATAAGTTCTATTGTTTTAAGGCACTAAGTTTGCGACAATTAGTTATGGCAGCCAGGGGAAACTCATAGAGCCAGGCTTGGCAACCACGGTGCTCATCTCACTGGCCACCACGAAAGCCACCGAAAAGGCCAAGCTCAGTGCTACCTCTGAGCCATTCAACCTGCCTTCTCTCGGCCTGGAGCACTCTTCTCCATGATCTCCACTTGGCTGGCTCCAGAAGGTTTCCCCTGGTCCCTGACCCAACCTACGTTAGATCCTGCTTGGCATTTCCTTTCGGAATCTGGTTCTCATCCTTCAAAGCACTTATCACAATTTATAATTAGACATTTATCTGTCTGGTTATCTGTGTAGCGTCTTTCTTCCCCACTAGAACGTAAACTCTCTGAGAGCAAGGTTTACACCATTTTGTCCACCTCTGCATTTGCAGCACCTAGCATGGTAGCCACACGTAGTGAGTGATCAATAAAAACATTAAAGGAAATAACGAACGCGTGAACGGTTGTCACAGTATGTGGCAGCGTACCCCAGATAACATCCAGGAGCATCAGATCAGCATCTATCTCTTGGGAGAGAGAATGGCAAGAGCTAAAAAGGAAATCTGGGACACAAATAAAAGGACCACAGTCCTGATGGTGCCCCAGAATCTGTGGGAGGACTGGCAGGAACAAGGAAGGTTACGCACCAGGGCTACATCTGTGCACACCTGATTCTTGATTTAAGCAGCCAACCACAGTTCTAGGCTGCACTCGCCAAGTCATGGGGATCCTGATCCAGTACCTGGTTTGACCAGTGCTGGCTCAAGAACTGGACAGGGAAGGGGCTCCTGGGTGGCGCAGTCGGTTAAGCGTCCGACTTCAGCCAGGTCACGATCTCGCGGTCCGTGAGTTCGAGCCCCGCGTCAGACTCTGGGCTGATGGCTCGGAGCCTGGAGCCTGTTTCCGATTCTGTGTCTCCCTCTCTCTGCCCCTCCCCCATTCATGCTCTCTCTCTGTCCCAAAAATAAATAAACGTTGAAAAAAAAAATTAAAAAAAAAAAAAAAAGAACTGGACAGGGAAGAGAAAGCAGGTGGAACAACCCGAAGACCTGCAGCAAGGCAGAGCTAGAAAACGTAGACACGGACAAATATTCCAGTGAGATAAGACACATCTCTCTCTTCATCTATGGGAAAAGATAGGCGACTGGTTGCAATCCATCGATCTGCAGGTGTTTTAAGTATGCTCCCACTATCCGTCTGTCTCTAAGGGACTACCTGTTCTGTAGCATGCGTGTAGTATCTATTTTTAAAAAATCACTTCAGCAAACCCAGAATAGTAAGTACAATCCATTGCACTGTTCCTTCCTGATTGCTTGCTCCAAACATAGAAAACAGACCCCAAAGGCAAAAGTGATTGACTACTGGACACTGCTTTTCGGGGTCAGGGACCAAGATGGTTCTCTCATCAGGACGCTCCAGGCTGTTCACTCGCTTGGTGAAATGGCAATGTCAACAGAAATGTAACTCTGAAAATCTAGGAATTCCAGGATTCAGGACAGCGATTAAGCAAAAAAGCAGACCTAAAAACCCTACCTTCAGCCAAGAAGCTAAAATGATCAGGTAAGGGAAGAAGAGGCTTGGTAAAGTAGAAATACCCAGAGGAGGATTTCAGTTAGGCTCTTTGATTGCAAGGAACAAACTCACCCACTCATGCCAGGGAAAAGATGGTGCTTTAACCCTGCCTTTTTTTGTTTGTTTATTTTATTTATTTTGAGAGAGAGGAGGAGAGAACACAAGCGCCGGGGAGAGGGAGAGAGAGAGTCCCAAGCAGGCTCCATGCTAACAGCAGGGAGCCCAATGCAGGGCTCCATCTCATGACCTTGGGATCACGACCTGCGCCCAAATCAAGAGACCTGCGCCAAAATCAAGAGTCCGACGCTCAACCAACTGAACCACCCAGGCACCCTTAACCCTGCTTTTTGTTTTCATTTGGTTTTACTCCTCCAACTTGACCTCAGGAACATGTTGACTTAGTATTTGTAAATGTAAACATTTTAATCAAAGGAATACCAACATCAACGAATTTTCATTGAGAAGCTATTTTCTAGAGCAAACCCTATTGGCCCTGTGTATCTCAGCTTTTAACAGCTTCACCATTACATGCCTCAGTGTAGTTTTTTGTGTGTTCTTTTTGTATTTATCCTGCTTGGAGTCTGCTGAGCTTCTTGAATCTATAGGTTTATGTGTTTCTCCAGTTTTTGAAAATACTCGACAATTATCTCCTCAAATATTTCTCCTTCCTCATTGTCTCTCTCTTATTCTCCTGGGTCTCCAATTTACATGTGTGTTAAAACATTTCACTATGTCCTATGTATCTCTTCTGCTCAGTATTTTGTTGTTGGTTTTTTTTCCTGTGATTCAGTTTAGCTTTTTCGTTTGGGCCTGACTTTGAGTATA